CAACATGAAACAACTATTACAAATTACCATCTGCTGAATTGTTTTTAAACTGTTGTCTTTCTTTGAACAACACACTACACTGTGCTGTTGGCTTTCCCTTTTTTTCCTGTGGGTGATATAATTTCAATACAGTGTCTCCCCACTACATAACAGTGAAGATGTTGATGAGGGATATCCTGGTTGGCATTTCACTATCTCCTGTTTTTCAATTATTTGGTTTATTATACTTAATTGAAATTGTAAATGACTTTTTGAGCCCCTTTGTTTTGAGTAAATGACAAATGAGCTCCATGATGTTTGGTCTAGAAGGTATATATGTTATAATAATATTTTTTTCTCACTTTATGATTATAGGATTTTTGTTAGATGTTGGTCAACTTGTATTACCCATAGAATTATTACAATCATTGATAACTACTGGAATTTCTCCAATTTATTGTTTTCTTTTTTTTTTTTTTAAATTATTTAGTAGAGGGTCTCACTACACAGACTGGACTCATAGTGATACTCCTGTTTTCAACCTCCCAAGAGCTGGGATTACAGACACGCACCACCATGTCCAATCTCAATTACAGTCTCAGTGCGCCCCGCGGGTGGGGCTGGCACAGCATGCTGGGGATTGAACCCCAGTCCCTGTGTCTGCCTAAGCAGGCACTTTAACCCACTGAGCTATCTGGCCAGCCCTGTATTATGAATAGTTCTGTATTATGAATAGTTGACTATAAGGAGAAGTCTTTTCTTTATATAACAGATATTTTCTTCTCTGAGATGCTAATATTTCTCCTTTTTTCAATGGTTTCTTTTTCATTTCCTTCCTGTTCAGTCTCAGTGTCCCAAACGTGTTTTGTGTTGTAGAATGATATCACTGAGTTCTGGAGAAGTATAAAAATTATATATAATATACTTACAGTGAGGGTTTTTATAGATTGTAGCACAGAATCTTATCTTTTACATGAATTAGTAAAAGAGAAGAAGACGGCGACCTGGCGCAGCGGTCTCGGTGCCGGGCTGCGGAGCGCGAGGTCGCTGGTTCGCGCCCCTGTCCCGACTCTTTCTTTCGGGGGCCTGGGCCTAGCTCAGTCCTTTAAGTGGCTGCTTCCACAAAGCTGTCAGCCTCAGGTTGCTGGAGTTCAAACCTCACAACTCTCTAGCTGGCCAAATGTGCCCTGAAGGCATTCGAGGAACAAAAAAAAAAAAAAAAAAGAGAGAAGAGCCAGAACTTACCATTAGATTTCAGTCAAAACAAATATGAAAGGTGAATACATCCTAAATGAAAAGCATGTAAAAAACAGACATATGAGTGTATCCTGTGTAAACAATCAGCTGGTTGAAATGGCACCCCCAGTGACTCTCGGGATCATCAGTACATAAACAGACACACTGCCTGACTGATACTCAGGATAAATGTTAAGTGGTTAAAATGCTCTTTGGCTGCCTTCTGAAATTAGTATTATGTAGGGAAATAATATTGATATTACCTAATCAGGGATCATGGCTCTCAGGAGGCTGAGGCAGGAGGATTGCTGTGAGTTTGAGGCCAGCTTGGGCTACATTGTGAGACCATATCTCAAAAAAAAAAAGATTAACATTAGTATTTTAGTAATAAGAAATTGAATTTAAGCTGGGTGTGGTAGCACATGCCTTTAATCTTGGCTCCTGGGAAGACTGAGACAGGAAGAGTGGAAAGTTTAAGGCCAAGAAAGAAAAAGAAGGAAAAGAAATTAAATTATGTAAAATTCTTTAGCTTTCATCCAGATTATTTTTAGTTTATTTATGTATTTGGTACAGGGTCTCACTATGCAGATCGGACTTGTAGTGATCCTCCTGTTTTCAGCCTCCCCAGTGCTGGGTTTGCAGGTGTGTGCCACCACACCCAGACTCAGTCACCAGCTTAGCACGCCTGAGGGCAGGGCCAGCATGGCACGGTACCAGGATGGAACCCCGGGGATCGGGGATCAAACCGCCTAGTCTGCTGAGCTATCTCCCTAGCCCTCATCCAAATTATTTTATTGACTGCCTTTGACGGAGTCTGAGTGATGTTCACCCTTAAGTAGGACACCCACTGAGGCAGTCTCTTAAAGCAAATCTTTTTGTAGAACACATAATTGTAGGTTGGGGAGTTGGGAGTCAGGAGAGGAAGGCACTGTGACTGAGGGTATGTTATCAAGTCATGTGAGCAAGTTTCAGAACTTGCAAAATGATCATTTGTTTTTATTTTTTATTTTGTCTTCTTTGAAACAGGGTTTCACCATGCAGTTCAGGCTGGCCTTGAATGCAATTTGTAGCCCAGGCTGGGCTTTAACTCAGAGCAATCCTTCTGCTTCAGCCTCCCAAGTTCTGGGATTACAAGTGTGTACCACCACACCTGGTTCACTAAATGAGCATTTAAACCACCTTTAAAAACACCTTTGGGGAGGTGGTATTCATACTCGGGCCCTGCCGTGCCGGCCCCGCCCAAGAGGCGTGCTGAGATGGCAATTGAAACTGGGCATGGTGGCGCGCACCTGTAATTCCAGCTCTTGGGAAGCTTTAAACAGGTGGATTACTATGAGTCTGATCTAGTAATGAGACCCTGAATACCCTGTAGACCCTTCCCTAAAATAAAAAAAAAAAAAAAAAAAAAAAACCCACCCAAACCAAAACTACCTTTAACATTTCCTAAAATAATCTCTTTTGTTCCCCTTATTACTGTCAGCCTTGCCTCAGAATTGAGGCTCTATCTTTATTAATTGTGTTTTTGCTAAGTATTATAAAGAACTTCCCTGTGCCTGCCTGACAAGTGCAAGGTCCTGGGTTCAATCCTCCACCATACTGAGAGAGGAGAGAGAGAGAGAGAGAGAGAGAGAGAGAGAGAGAGAGAGAGAGAGCGAGAGAGAGAGCTCAAACCTCCTTGCTGGCTGGCTGTGATGGCACCATGCCTATAATCTCAGCATTTAGAAGACTGAGGCAGGAGAATTGCCCTGAGTTCAAGGCC